ACATATTTTAATATCATTTTATCATTCCTATATTTAGATCAGGCTGTGCAAAATGCCATGCTATGCTTGCGCAGCGAAGGTATTTGGACATTGGGTAGCACACTTGGGCCAATAGGTTGGCGATTACGAAAACACTACTTCAAAGTATCACCGAAACCACCGGAAAAGACTGGAAACAAGTTACTTGTGAAAAGTGGCTCGCAGTCACACCAAGGTAAACATTTTGCAACGTCGAGCAGTAATGGCGGCGGGGGCGGTAGTAGTAGCGGCTCTATAGATGGAGGTAACGTGGATCCATCGGAGCTTGTTTTGGAGTGGATCGAATATGGCCCCGATAAATATGTAGACGACAAGGAACTGGGTAGCATTTTAAAAAGTCTAATGGGCTTGCAGCATCCTCACATCGAAACGATTGTGTATGCGGCACATAACGAGAACGGTAGCATAGTTGTGCGGAGGTAATAATGCAGTACAATTAATATTGCACATACATATATAGCTGTAACGCAGGTGTATTAACAATTTGTTTTTGATCATCTTTCTTATAGGTTTTACAAGCAAGGCACTCTGAAAGATATACTTTGTATGGCCACGCCAAAAAACCCATTTCTTAGTAAATACGGCAATCCAAAGGGCAGAACTGCACTCACCATGAAACAAGTAGCGATCTATGGACGTCAAATATTGGAGGCTTTAATCTTTATTCATTCTAAGGGATATCCATACGGTATGTTAAGCCAAATATCTGATTCGCAATTCTATTTTTGGTAATGCATATGATTCTCTTAATTTGACAAGGTCATTTGCACGCTGGAAACATCGTGATTGTGGATGATTGTGTTAAATTATTGGATATCGAAAACTATCTACTAGGCGTGCCCGCTTTTTATCGACCGTTCTTCGTACAACATAGTAAAATTCATTCTGTGGAAAATATAGATGTGTACAGTTTTGGTCATGTACTTTTCGAAATGGCCATGGGCTATCCCTTGCAAGAGTCTGTAGCACGACAAATCACCGAATGTCCCGAAACTTTAAGTGAGTAGTGAATACGTTATTTACATATATATGGTTCATGTTATAGAGGCAAATTTTCGATATTTATAATGGCAGAGAACTTATTAGAGAGTATATTATCAAAAGAAGCGGTAAGAGCTGGCTTACCGTCGCTACAACAACTAATTGGCCACCAGTTCTTTGCACAGCATGCAAGTAGTGCTGCTGGCGGGTTTAGCTGCTGTAATGAAGATTCCAGGAGGACACATTTTAAATTGTCACTGAATGCTAAGGAAATTTTAAAACAGGCTGCTCAAAAATCTGATTTAAGGCTGCGGGACGAACAAAAATCTGTAAAAAATCAAAAGCGCATTGTGCGTGTGCAGGAAATGATGAGTTCAGAGGAAGAGAAGCGAAAATCAAAACAAAAAGCGGTTTGTAATAAAAATAAAAATATTATTGATTAATGTGATTAATTTTTTTTCTTATAGAAACTTGAGCATAAACAGTCAAAATTGAAGCAACAAGGATCGCTGCAAGCAGGTAACGGGCGGCTATCACTATCCGCTGCCAGCGGCTCTGCTGCGCTCACCGCATTTGCTAGCAGCACCAGCGGTGATACTGCACCGTTCGAGCGAGCTGATAGCGTGCTAAGTATGCATATGCCAAGAGAATTAAGTACAGCTGCTACATCCCAATTTGTTGATATTAAATGTATGTCAATTAAATTTAAAATGCCTTTGTAAAATAAAATAAAAATATTTATTTTCACACTAGCTCCACCCTTTGAGCAACAACAAAGCACAGCACACGAAAAGCAGCAGCAACAACAACATTCTTCGTCAAAGCAACCTACCTTATTAGCAAATGTCGAACGCCAAGCGTCGTCGCCAAATATTTCAATAGACACTGAACAAGGCAGTGAGCCCACGCGATCAGCACTCTTAGAGTCAATTTGTAAATTCAACCGTGGCTCATTGCGAAAAGTCCGTTCAAATGATTAGTAAATAATAAAAAGCTAACGTAGCTAACAAAAAAAAAAAACTAAATTACAAATAAGCCGCAAGAGTGGTGAAGAGGAGAACATTGGTCCTTTTCATATTGTTTTATGCACAATAATTCCAGCCAAATTCAATCACCACCTCCAGAAAAAGCTTTTATAATTAAACACACTTTCTAAAATGCAGCATCTAAATTTTAAAAATATTTAAGCAAAAACAGTAAAAGATAATCAATATATAATGCAATAACTTGTAATATGAATTTTACAAGTGCTACTACAAAATATCGATATAAAAAAAAGTTATTTGACATCCATCACATGCGTAATATCATATATAGTGTTTCACTAAATATTTAACAAATCGTAAAATAGTGTGTACATCTTTGTAAAAACATATACATATGTGTGATGTTGTTTTGTAGATGCGTCTGTATACACTACATACCTACATATTTGTCACAAATAAGCTAAAGCAACAGTATAATAAGGTGTGTATATGTCTATGTTTAATTCTTGTGATTTCTTTAAAACAATGGTAGCTAATATAGGGGTATATTTTCACACACTCAACCACAGGAACACAGCAAATGAAAACTGCGATATTTGTTTTTGAATGGCTAAATAGTACCGTTATAAACTTCAAACGATTTGAAAATTTTCTTTGAGTAAAATTAAAGTTCATGTTTTGTTCGGGACTATGACTGAATCCATCATAATTAGACCGATTTTCATAACTAAAATAAGTTTTTGTTGCAAGTCATTTTTTATTTAAAAACGCCTTTCAATCAAGGCCACCAATTATTGGGTTGTTTTGTGACTATTTCCGTACCATTGTTCCAGGTTATACCAGAGTTAAGTTCCAAGGATTGCGCCGAGTGTCGCAAAAAATAAGGGCGATATTCTATGGCACTCACAACCGACTTTATTTGAAGTGGTTTTTAAAACATTTTTTTATCAAATACTCTTCTATACTAATCGGTCTTCACCATACCGTAATTCGATTCGAGCTGTCTGCTTGCACAAGCGATCACTCAAAGCTTAGCACCTTTGAAATTTGAAGCTCCTTTAAATCGATTTATTATAGTATAGTAATATGGTCATTCCTTATCTTTTTGGACTAAAATCTGAAAAGTGTCCAAATGCCAGAGCGTAAGCAAAATGCGCTCAAAAAAAGAGAATAACAGGGAAAAGTAAAGGAAAGCAAAAGACGAAATTTTTAGTCCAAAGAATGGCAACAACGAAACTAACATCAAACAAGAATAGAAATGTATGTTCAAAACACATTCACACAAGCACAATAAACACTTACTATATCAATTATTTTTTGCCTCCTTCCAATTTCAATTCACTTTTTTTTTACTTTTTACATATGTATATATGTAATATTATTCTCACTTTTTGCGTATTCTTTAATTTCCGTTAATTTGTATTCAGTTGAGTTTGACACTTTTCAAGATTTTGCCAGCAAAAATTCATCTGACTAAATCTGACTACTTCGGACTGAAGAGTCACTCTCACTGAGTGTTGTTCTCTCATTGTTGCTGTCATTTTCGAGTTAAGGAACGCTTTTTGGACTAAATCTGACTACTTCGGACTTTTTCTGACTATTTCTGGGAGATAAGGAACGCAGCTAATATGCAAATATACTTATACATGCCTTTTACGGTATCCGACGGATGCCATCCGCACGGATCTAGTCCGATACGAACTGTCATAACAAGCGAGTGAGAAGAATTAGATTCATGAGAATGGGATGCCTTGGAAACACACCTATTCCGGTCCGACAGATACCATTCGCACGAATCTAATCCTTCGCCCTCGCTTATTCCGACTGTACGAATCTGATTAGATCCGTGCGGTTGGCATCCGTCGGATACCGTAATATTAATGAATATGTTGGTTTACTTTTCGTTGGTATTCAAGGATTTCATTTCGTTTCGGGCTCATTTATCGAACTGAAAAGTCAAAACTTAATTTCGGATTACTTATAAAATTAACTGTCAATAAAGGAACACAAAAATAGTTGTCGGCTAGTTGAACTATTAACAAAATGTTTTAAGTGTGTCTAAAATTCGGCGGCAAAAGTCTGTAAATTTAATTAAACGAGGACAGTAAGATATAAATTACCTGCAAAAAGAAACCTGCATCGGATTGTTTCAACTAAATACAAAGTTAAATTATTCTAATAAATTTATCATATCGGCTTAAAAAAAGGTCATAAAACGAATAATGGTTGCCGTGCCAAAAATTATGTCTGACACTTGTACATATAAATAATAATATGTACGTGCAACCAATACTAAATATAATGTATGCATTGTCTGCATCTTGAAAAAATTAAAAAAAGAGTGTTACCACTGCTAACTTCGTTCGAAGGGAAAGTAGCTTTACTAGCTGTAATTATAAGAACATACTTTTAAAATACCTTAAAATTTTGCTAAAGATTTTACTAGAAAATTGTAGCTTCTATCTAGCACCTGCTGTGGGAAATTCAGCAGCTTGTTTTGATCTTATTGGACGATTTCTTAAGTTATTTTCGGCTTTCGTCAAATCGGTTGGAATTTATTTGCAAATATGAGAGATATTTACATATGTGTAGATTTTAAAAACTTGCGCTGTGTTAATAAATGTTCCATCAAAACGCATAATTTTTATACCATTCTTTATTATAACAATAAAAAATCGTTATTATTAAATATATTTCTTGGTTTGTTTTTATTTCATTTAATTTATTATTATTTATTTATGATTATAACTTTATACATTCTAAAATTTCCATATTCGTTAATTTAGCACAACTCTAACTAACACATCGTATTTATTAAAATAAGTAGTATAATGTTAGAATAGACAGCATTTTCAAAATCAAACCGCACCTATCCACAAGAATTTCTTAATATTAAATTAAAGTATACTCACCACGACTTTCATCACTTCCCTATACACCTACAAATATGTTTGACATCTAAACGCATTAAAAGCACTAAGTGTATATTTATATCCATGTTAAACTATTTCACGAAACCAGTTTAAGGCCGCAAGAACGTAAATATGAAAATGAACGGTTTGGGAAATTAGAACAAAATTTGATAATTAAAAATCGTATTAATAAATATTATAATGTGTCAATATCTTACAAAAGCTACATCCTTCGTATAAAATACTTATGCATTATTTGAATAGTTAGTCAAATTTGTTTAAATGCATATTTTCGTAAAATGTGCCATTACACCTCGTGTCATAATTATAAGGGCACCACAAAAAAAAAATATTAAAATTTTTATCAGTTTATTAATTTTTTTCATAATACACATATATTTTGTTAAAGAATAAACAATATTTGTATAAAAAAAAATAACTAACTAACTTGTCAATATGTGATGCGCTCATAATTGTAACACGGGGTGTATGAAAAAACCTAGCTCCTTTCAATGATTTTAATCAGAGTTATTAGTTTACTGAGAGAGTGATAATATTAAATACTTGGAATAATGACTGGCTCGTTAACAAGAATTATTCACCAATAGAACTGATTTTTTATTATTAATTGTGCATCTAATATACCAAAATTAAATATTTAATTTTATAAAATAGTAATTTTAATGAAAACATCTAGTTTAGGAATAATTTTATTATAAACCACACTACTTAGAAGTCCAATTCAGTGTTGGCGCAAATTGAAGTCGAAAAAAACAGCAACACTCTCCATTTCTAATCAAATCAAATTATGCTGAGTGCTATATAAATGTTAAATATAAAACTTAAGAACATACATAGGCGAATTTTCAGACATGAAAATTTTATCTAAGATAAGGCTAACCATTTCTAATAGATTTTGAGTCGCTGAATTCGAATCTGAACTCAGAATTGCTCTATCGCACCAAGTCTTTTAAATACCCTAACCTAAAACTGCGGGAAATTTTATTTTGAATTTATTTTGAAAACTAGTACGGTGCATTTTTTTCAAAGGGTATGCATTAGCGCTGTGCGATTAATTGATTACTCTAAATTTTAATTAAACATAAAGTAAATAACTCAATTATTCGATTAATTGGAAATTATGATTACTCAAAAGTTCAATCACTGGAATAATCAAGATTTTTAATTAACAAAAAACAAAAATATTTGAGTAAGTTGCTTTATGATTAATCAACATTTCGAGTAAAATGAGTAATCAACATTTCCACTCTTTACATATGTATAAAGTAGTTAAAGTTCCTTGATACTTTGAAAACAACGTTCCTGTTTTCAAAAATTAATCAAAAAATTTTTTTCATATACAGAAAGTAAAAAAGAAAATAAGCATTTTCCAAAGCAAACTCTTTTAACGAGCAAAATTATTTTTTTTGAGTAATCATATTTCAAGTAACTCGATTAATCATCGTTTTGAGTAATCAAAATCTTGATTACTCGAGTAATTGATTAACCGAATAATTGATTATCCAACTTGCTCGAGTAATCGAATAATCGCACAGCCCTAGTATGCATACACTTATAAACAAAGGGGCAATAATGAAATTGCCTCAATTCAAATTTTTCGATGAAAAAAATATATTGGAGCAAACCTAACGATATGTGGTATGCATAATTTTTCGAGTAACAAAAACTTCCCTATGCTACGTAACCTCGAAAATATGCCGAAACAGCATTTTTCGCATTTTTGGGTTAGGATATTTAAAAAAAAAAAAACCTGATGTTACAGAGCAAAACTGAGTTAAGCTTCGAATTAAATTATCCAAAATCTACATATTAGAAATGGCTCACCTTATCTAAGACGAGTTCAAAAGTTAAAAGTTTGCTGAATAGTGAAACTAAAACTGTATAAAAATCCTCTCACACCGGGACTAATGCTGTAGGTCGCAAATTATCCACGTGCTCGGTATCGCTTCTTCGGTCCCATACACAGCTCGTTTTGACATAAATGACTTGTGATTCACGAAATCAAACATTTTTCTCTATGCAATCGAAGACAACTTGAATAGGCCAATGGCTATGACGTACTCCAAATAAAAGCTCGAGTAAATATTTTAGGGTTTATCTTAGGGCGTTCTGCTTCTCGTAAATTAACACATCCTTCTGCCCAGCAAGCAGTTCCAGTTGGGTTAATGCAAAAGAGACTTACTTGAATCTACAGTGCCCTCTAGGCACATTAGAAATCAACTATTTTCTCTGAATGACGTTCTTGGGCCTATTCTGAACGTTACCGAATATTTTATTAAGAAAAGTTCTCACTTAAACTTTATTTACCGGTTACAAAATATTTGTTACCAGCGCAGAATTGACCTTTTACACTGAGAAAAGAGTTTAGTTACGTCAACTAAATATGGTTTTCTCAACACATGATCTGGTTATAGTTACATTATTGTTTATAGTTACCAAATCATGTGTTGAGAGGAATATATTGGCCCGACTTTTTTCTGAGTGTAGTCACAAGTACGCCATCCGCTGAATTAGACAGACTGCAGATGTGACTTAAACGTTATTTATCCAGAAAAACTCGTACATTCATCACATTTCGCCCCGTGAATGCGGCCATCGGAGATGAACTTCCACCAATCGCAGATGAAGAGCTCGGACTGCTTCATAGGGATTCCTTATGGGAATCGACCTACATCAACAAACCTAACGTGTCTATGTACATATGTATGTGATGTGGGCAGCTCAAACCAATTCATTTAATACCCCTTTCTGGTCGAACCAACACGTTTATTGCCCTATCATTAGACAATAATTATGTTTGACTCCTCGTAATCCTGGAAAAAATTCTAAGGCCAGTATTCAGTAAGCAGCCTCTAGTCACTAATAGAGACTTTTCGAAGTGAACTTCGATTTTGAGACTATTTGGTATTCAGTAAGCTGTCTTACGTCTTTAAAATAAAAAAAAAATCACTAATTTGATAGCTGGCTCCGAGCAGGTCACAAAAGGAAAAATATGGGAGAAAACCATGGTACAATTATTACAGGTATTCAGCCTTATCTCCAATTCTATGTGAATAAATCGTTCCATGGTCTAACAGGTAAAACAAAAACAAATTGCTTTGCAAAGTTGCTTTTGTTTTGCTTTATAATTTTTGGGAATATTTTGCCACATGGTACAATTATTACAGGTATTGCCTTCCCAGAGAGTTTTCTTTCATATCGAAATTCGTGCTTCATTATTTTCATTTTGACGCATTACAATGTTGATTCTTTTACTTTTCGATGGTTTTGCTTTTGGTTGTCGCTTAATTAAATTTGTATAGTTAAAAAAAATTTTCTCTTTGGTTTGTTCTAAATAAAACTCTATTAAGCCTTTTTATTCTTAAAACAAAATTGTATGTTTGGATACCAAGAAATGTTCCGAGCTTTGCCCTCAAAATGACGTTCTGAGTCGCACTACAAAGAAAAAGAAAGAAATCTGGTCACTCTAGGTATATGGTATTCGAAAATATGCCTTTTCTCTTACAGTCAACCTTTTAGCGTGGGCTACAATGATGTTTTTCAAATAAAGCAGATCGGAATATGCGCTCTCTGGGAAGACAGAACGCTTAAAATAATTGTACCACGGGGAAAAACATAATTTCTTTCTGCTTTACTCTAAAAAATACGAAAATGAAGCGAGAAAATATTTTTTGGCAACAATTTTATTAGGAAATAAACCTAAATACTTTAATATCATAAAAATTAAATGAAATTAAAAAAAAAAAATCCAACCTGGAACTCTCGAAGGGCACGTCACTACTTTACTCACTCAGTCATTTCGACTGTGTTGGAGCAGCGCGAACAAAATGCCATATAAGGGGTCTTCACACCGAAGTTTGTTATTCGGTTACTCGGTGTTCGGTAATTTTTTCCCTATCGATGTTATTTTCTAAAATAATGGCACGGCTTTTATAAATATTTCTTAACTTTGTCATTTCAATGCACACTGAAAATTCGTCATTGTTATATTCATGATAAATACATTACCAGGTAAATTCATTCTCTCAATTCGTCGGCCATAATTTTTTTTCTGACGTTTGCAAACATTTTAAAATCATATAAAATTTAAAATAAAAAAATTAAATTGTTCACATATGTTTTGTTGTTTTTAAATTATATTGCTGGAAAACGTCACACTGCCTCTCAATGGTTTTACCTTGTTATGTTTTTATCATGGTTAATATTATCAAAAAAAAAAACGCCAGGATAAATTCATTTAGTTATCATAAGTAGAATTTTAAAGTAAAATAAAAAGATTATAAATGATCCCTATTTTAATTTTTATTAGTGCTGTTAACCTGACTTCTTAACTTCAGTGAGTTCCAATGTTTCGCAATGAAGTGGCAATTTGGTTTTTATTAATTAAATTTAAAACGTTTAAACTGAATCACTTTTACTGTAAAAGAAAACTAATCAATTATAATCACCTTTCAGTCTTTAAATCAACACATTTTAGTTCACCAATGTGCCAACACTGCGAAAAATATGTGTGTATGATATACTATGTACGAGTATTTCCTGAACGTCCACAATCAAACAACTTTCTCTATGACTCGGTATGCACTTATGAATTTATGAAATAAAAACTACTTATGTATATGTATTAGCGAATTTGTCCCTAAATAAATAAAAATTAAATAAACTTATACAAAATTCAACTAGTAACTCATAAAAAATAAATAATGATTTAGTACATATGTAAATGTATGTATAACTAATATAAACTGATATTTATACATACATATGTATACTATATAAGTAAATATCAATTCCTGCATATAGCAAAAATTCATGCAATAGCATATGCACATATGTATTGTTTATTTCCTATACTTTTGCTACTGTTGCATTACAGAAAGCGACCTACCTTCATACATCTACATACCGCAAGAGATATACATACATACATACATACATTTGTATGTGCGTATAAACGTGATGCATGAATCTATCGATGGATAAGATAAACTGATGCCAAGAGTGATTGAATTTAAATAAAAAGGCTCCTTTTTATTTTTTACCTTATACAAAAAATATTTTCGTAATTGTTGTATTAGTATAAAATGTAGTTGTTGTTTTGGATGTTCTTGCGTAATATGTATGTAAATCTGTAAACTTCTATGTTTATGTGTATATGTATGTAACGTTTGTATGTATGTCTTATATCTATAATTAAATATTGTGTATTTAGCACTTACATACGTACACACATATTTATGTAACTGTGTACTTGCATATAAAATATTTCTATACAAAAGTGTCGTAAATGGATTTTTGACTGTGTATATGTACTATATTATATAGAAAACCTAAATAAATAAATAAATAAAATAAAAATATTGCAACACATACATACATACATATGTATTTTAATATCGAATTTATATTTTTGATGTGCAAACATTTTTGCGTAAACCAAGACGAATTCAGAAGTAAATTGTAGGTAAAAATGGAACCAAACTGAATCAGCTCTTCTAACAACACTACTCGTTGATATACATATGTACATATCGTCACACGAATAAAGGCGCGGCATTGTTTTGACGGCGAAAAAGGACGAATCGGCGAAAAAAGACGCGTAAAAAAGCTTCGGCGAGAGAAGACGCGTAAACCTAGTTGACGCCGAAGAAATACACGTAAACATAGATTTATACCTATCCAAGGACTGTCACGTCAGCATCATTACCCAAAAACTCAAAAACATAGTTGAACGCGATGATAAGTTTACGCATCTTTTTTCGCTGTTCAAATAGGTTAACGCGTCCTTCTTCGCCGTCGACTAGGTTTAGGCGCCTTTCTTCTCTGAAGATTCCTAATGGGGCCCGATTGGTTGATGTCCTCGTAAGAACAAAAGCTGACATCGTCGCCATCGAACGGGGCCACGTGGGTCCTTGCGACGTCTACTACAACTGTCATGTAAGGAGCGCCAATCATTCTTTATTAAAAGAGTTCGTATTATTTTGGTTTTGTCGGATTTTCGGTGCCTCTTTTGAACTTAGCAAATTTTCCGTTCATATATCCCTTGCTTCCTATATCAAAATATGAGTTTTCATAAGAACTTAATTTAGAAACTTTTCACTCTAAGCTAGCGATATACATATATGTAGATGAATAAGTTCGTGGTGAGAAACATGAAAGAAAACGGATTTTTAGGTAAAAAAAAAAATGTTTAAGTAAATGTATGCACAATACTTAAAACGTAAGATCTATTGGCATCCTCGGAAATGTCTCATAAAGTATTTGAAAGCGAAGCAAACAAAACTTTTGAAAAAACTTCAATTTCTTATTTATTGGATTTATTTTTAAATATTTCACTAATCTTCTTATTCTTTCAAAAACATCATGGAACCACCAGAAGTACGTTCTTACATTGTAGTAAGAAATTTAGCTTTGCAAAGGAATTGCGTGATTTTGTTTAATTATACAAACATATGTACGTATGTATATCTACACTTGATATTCAAATTAGCTAATTATGGAGAAACCACAATTGCCAGTTCATTCTCCCTTTCCGGTCGACTTATGTACATGGATTAGCGCAAGATGTGCTGAGAATTTGTACACAACTACATACTTAATTACAAATATTTACGTAGATTATATGCAAAATTATATTACATCCTATCGATTTAACATTTAGCAAATTTCGCAAACCAGGTCAAAATATGTTTACATTTCGTTAGTTCTCAATGGCAGATAATTGGTCTAACCTCGTAGATTTGTGCCTAGGTCAGGCTAGGGAAGAGGTAACAAGTAATACAATACGTTAAAGCTGTCAATTTATATCCGGATTAATATATTGGCAATTTGTTACAATAATACACGAATTCTCTTGGTTCAATTTGTATTAGTGCATTTACATATTTGCTAACGAAATTATGATTTATGGCAAACGTTAGCGAAGACATTAAATGTAATTGAAATGAATCAAGCAATCAACACAACGTTGCGGAAAAGCGATGCCAGCCAAACACGCAGAACTTCAACGCCACCCTACGCCACCCTTTCACTATTTACGTATTTTAGACTACATACATACATATATATATACATACTTACATATGTTTGCACATATGTATTTAGATGAATGCGTAACTAAGCAGCGACAGACAAATGATATGCACACGTTTTTAGACAAATTCACTTATACCATCGATTTTAATGTATAGTTTATGTTTATTTTCCAGAAGCGCAATTCCCTCAAATCGTTGCGTCGAGTTAGTGTAGCATTTGCAGTTCCCCAAGCGCGGGTAAGACAATGTCTTTGTCACGACACGACAGCAATTTAACTTCGCCAATCTCTGTGTGTTTACAGCCGGTACTAAAATATCTGCCCACATATCGTCTAGAACCGAAATATCCTCTGAATAAGGAGGCCTGTGAGAAAATCATAAAAACGGTGATGAACAATGCTTTTGAGAACTTTACATATTCACCAAAACAATCGCTGGTACTGTGCGCACAAATTAGTGAGGAGATAAAAAATCGTGTAAAATCGCAACATTTTGACCGGTGAGTAAGTGTATAAGGTGTATATGAAATTAGTAAAAAAAAAAAAAAAATGGGAAGAAAAAGTGTTGGTTTAAAGTGTTGTATTCCATTTGCAGCAATAACTAAGAGGAAAGCTTAATTGCAGTTTATGGCTACAAAAAGAACTTCTGCGCATGTGGCTAATGCCAATATTCCAAGCCATCGCGGCATACTCGATCGAATGATTTCCAAGACTGCGGTATTCGTTTTGTCAATTTTGGTCAATAACACTGCAGGAAGCGTAAAATGACGCGAAAAAAAACGCCGAGACACGTAAGCTTAATTTTTGGTCGTAGATTACGGAACTGTATACCGTCAGGTCATATTCCCCCCAAGATATTTTCATTATGAATGAAAAAAATCCAACTCACTTCGGGTTTCCCTCAAGGTAGTATCTTGAGTGCTCTCTTATATGTCCTATTCGTAAACGATTTTGGGTCATGCTTTCTGTCGTCTAAGTATTTATTATATGCTGACGATCTCAAGGTTTACTCAGTGATCAGAAACCCACAAGACTCCATATTGTTGCAATCTGAGCTCGATTACCTACACTCATGGCGCTTCTTCCTGTTCAAACCAAGTACATATCATATTGGCGGCTATAATCTTAAATCGGTCGTTGAGGTTAATTAAGGAGTTTACTTTGACTCAAGACTATTCTTCTCAACTAATATTAATTACGTCATTTCCAAAGCTTATGCTATGCTCGCATTTGTTCATCGTAATAGTCGGTCCATATACCCTGAACATTCTCTATTTTACTTTGGTGATATCAGTCCGTCTATACAAACCGGACTGAAATGATTCAAAAAGTTTTTATCAAATTTCGCCTTGCGTTCCCTAAAGTTTTCGGATGAATCTCGTTGTCAACTGCTTGGCTTAAATTGTTAAATAGTAGGCACTGTCGATTGCTCTAGTCTCTTGGATAAGTTATCTTTAAATGTTCCGTCACATAACTTGCGGCATGTTTCACTATTAAATTTGGGATTTCCGAAATCTAAATATGTGAAATTCTCGCCTTTATTCAGAACCCTGTCTGAGTTAAATGAGCTTTCAGAATATGATCCATATCTCCCATTTGGAACAGTACGTTGTGTCCTGCTAAATTACTTTGGGTAGTATTTATGATCCTTTGCTTTAGTCAGTAAGGATTTGTATTCCATTTGAAATAAATGGGAAATGTTGCTCATACGCCCTGTACGAGTATGGCCATTAAGCCGTATCACGACATGTGAAAGAAAAAAGTTTAGCGTGTGTCAGTTTTATTTTTAACACTTATCTACGCTAAATCGCGTTTTTTCTATAACTTTCTTATTTGATATCTGATTTTTAAAAACTTTATGTCGTTAAAAAGGTCTCGCTCAGGACTATAATTCGCCATTAAACAATTTTGGCCTTCAAAACCATTTAATTTATACTTTCACTTATTTTCGAATTACTATCCCTAGATTTTTATTTGTTTACTGTAAATCATCTAATGCCCTGAAAAAACGACGGCGACCTTGCTAAAAAAAGAGTTAGGCTTTATTCACAAACAAAAAAGTGTTAATGTTTTTATTACTTGTGTGTGTAGGTTTACATTTACTCACCCGAGTTAATTTAAAAAAAAAAAAAAAAACTTATTGGAATTTGGGAACGAGCTAAGATTCCAATAGTGGGCAGATTTACAATTCGTAAATATATAAACGTAGTTATTGAAAAATATTATTTTATCACAAAAAAATTCAACTACATATAAAGACGAGGAATGGAGTGCTATCCCGGATCTCTATGTACCTGTAAATGCGGGACAGAGTTCAGGAAAAATACAACTGCAGCGACACAGCGCGAATACCATCAAGTTCAATGATTCTTTTAAACCAATGGGGATCGAGACAGTTATTATTACCTGATAAGAAATGATGCGAAATTGCAATCGAGCAAATACCGGAAGCAGTAGCAATTACTAATTGTTAGCCGTCTACATTTCTAGTCTAGTATAACTAGTCCCTTATTCCAAGAATAATTTAATTTACAAGCAGCACCACTTCCAAAAGCATTGGAAAGTATCGGACGTCAATCTTTAACTTTAATAGCATTGATAGACTAGAATAGATTTGAAAATACTGCACCTCCAATTTTGCAATTTCGTTTGCATTATCATTATTCGAACAAAATTATTCGAATTCCAAGTAAACATTTCGGTGCCCAGAAGTATTACATATTGAGCCCTATCTGCCAAAAATATGTAAGCGATATTTTTTTTTCTAAATTTTATTTTTGATGCAGAAATGCAACTAGATGCTCGATATGTATACATATTTCCATTACTTACTAACGAGAAATTTAATCAATTTATCAGACATTTTATGCCATACTCAAAACACCGAGAGTTTTGTCCTTGTTGTAAGTGAATCTCCACTTGCAGTTTCAGACACAGAACATATATGGGCATATTTTTGCTAAACTTGACAATCGGAAGGGATACAGCGTACTCGAATCACGAAAACAGTATAACTTTTTTGTTTGTGAATAAAGCGTAACCCTTTTTTAGCAAGGTCGCCGTTTTTTTTTTGAGGGCTTTAGATATATAGTTTAAAAATAAAAATTAGGGATAGTAATTCCAAAAATAGTGAAGGTATCAAATCTTAGCGGGTGCATAAAATAAAAAGTTACAACCAATATTTTTTCTCGGCATAAGTATTCAAATGAAACTGACATTCGTGATACGCCTTACTGGCTAACCAGAATGTAGTACCACAGCCACAAGCTATTTCGCTAGCTACATCAGCTACATAAGCAATAATACACCATAACCACAGCTACATATTGTGGCAAGTTTAGTGCATTTAGAATATTTTAACTTTTGACAGCTCTTGCTACATACCACACAGCTTCACCATTCTGGTTAGCCATGGCATGGTACTGCAGTTAATGGCTATGTACCAACTTACATCGCGTATGAGTAACATTCTTTGCTTCTTATATTTCACGCAAAAAACCATTACGCATTTTCCTTTGACCATTCACAACTTTTTTATTTATCCATCGATTTTCTTCATTAATACGAAGATTTTCTTGTAAAAAAACAGGCTTCCGTACTCCGTTTTTCGCTGTTAAAATTTGATTTTTGTTTTCTAAATTTGTCTTGGAAAAATTACCTGAAACAACAAAAACAACTTTTTTATTTATCCATCGATTTTCTTCATTAATACGAAGATTTTCATGTAAAAAACAGGTACTCCGTTTTTCGCTGTTAAAATTTGATTTTTATTTTCTAAATTTGTCAGAACACAGAATCGTAATCTACGACTTAAAGTTAAGTTCACGTGTTTCGGCGTTTTGGTTTCATTGCAAAAGTTGAGCTTTTCACTTCAGTGTAATTATAATACAGCGGGTGCCATAAATAAGTAAACAAAGTCAGGACGTTAGCGTTTCTGGTAATAACTGTAAACGTAGTAGTCCATTTTCCAAAATTGTATTTTCACAAAGAAGTTACATTGTTTACTGTCATAACTCGTGAAAATCGAAATTATTTTTGGTCATTTTCGTTTTTTATTCGCAAAGTTTGTTGCAAACCTAGTTTTCGGATGCTCCAAAACTAAGTAAACAAGTGCAATTTGTCATAATTTGTTTGAATAAAAGTGAAATAAAGTGCAGTTTTTGCTAGACGTCGAGTTAGAAACGCAAGGGGTATATGTTTTACATTGTAAGTATAAAATTCTTGTATTTTTTTCGGTTATATTACAAAATCCTAATTTTTATTTCAAATAATGGCAAATTGTGCGCGTTTAAGTACAGGAGAGCGAAAAGCTATAATTAATCTTCACAATAAAGGGGAAACTTACAGAAGTATTGCCAAAACTTTTAATAAAACATCGGCGGCAATATTCAAGGTTATTAAAACCTTCAAGAACGATGGACGCGTTGATCGCAGATATTCCCAGGGACGCCCGAAAATTACTACAAAAAAGCTAGATACTCGAATAAAAAACATGTCAGCAGCAGACCCAATGCTTTCTGCTCCGAAAATTTACTCCAAGCTCGTATCAGAAGGTAAAACAGCACCATCTCTCTCCACTATTCGCAGAAGGCTGCATGGGAGAGTTATTCGGAAAATTCCGTTCATAAGCAAAATAAATCTCCAAAAGAGGATGAAGTTTTATTCAGATCATGTCTTAAAGCCCGAAAGTTTTTGGCACAAAATACTATGGACGGATGAATCCATGATTCGATTGAAATATAGTGGGGGCCAGATGTATGTTTGGCGCAAGCATGATGAAGCGTTGTCCTCAAGTGCACAAAACCTACTCTTAAGTCCGGCGATAAAGGCTTGATGGTTTGGGGATGCATTTCTGCTTATGGAGTAGGCAAAATAGTGGTACTCGAAGGCAAAACTAATTCCCAAGTTTTCCTTAACTTGCTGAAAGACGTGATTATTCCTGAAGGTAAGCGTCTAATAGGAGAGGATTTCGTTCTACAACAGGACAACGCACCTATTCACAAGGCCAAAATTGTTACAAAATATATAGCTGATGCTAATGTTAATGCTTTGGAGTGGCCTCCGCAAAGCCCTGACCTGTCACCAATTGAAAACGCGTGGGCGTGGCTGAAAGCTCAAGTAAGTGAAAGGGGTCCTCGAAATCTGGCTGAACTGAAGGATTTAATTTTGGAGATCTGGCTGTCTTTTACCCCAGAAATGTGTAGAAAATATGTACTTTCCATGCCGACTCGTTTCGCAAGAATGTCGCGAAATAATGGCGGTCACTGCGGCCATTAACATAAGTGTTTACTTATTTTTCACACACTGAATTCTTGTATTTTTTATTCAAACCGCCATTAGTTAGTGGAAGCAACTTTTTAATTTTAACTTATGCAGCTCTTATTGTAGCTAAAATCCCGTATTTTCAAATATATAAGTGACTTTTATGTTTATCTAAATAAAACTTGAAAAATATGGACTTGAGTTCAAAATATTAGTCTGTTTACTTATTTATGGCAGCCGCTGTATTTTTGCGCTTACACTTTTGGTAAGTGTTTGGCTGAGCTTCTCCCCGAATTTGTAGTGTGCGTCCTAATGTTATAATATAAATGAAGGGAGCTACGATTTACGCCGCCTTCGAACGGCAGATTAGATTATTTTTCAAGGCAGAAACTTTTAGATGTTGCTCGAACCAGAGATCGAACCCAGTTCCTACGGATTGATTGTAGACACCTCTAACCACTAAGCCACAGCGGCCGCCAATTTATCGATGGATTGCATTAAAGAAAATGGTGTGTTCGCTTCAATAAATGTGGCGGGGTTATTTTTTTATTAAAGAACACCACGTTCTACGCGAAAATTAGGACCACTCTGCCTACATCATACGTTCGATGAACAAAACTTGTTTGTCATTACTATCAGATCTTTTACACTATACATATTTTTACTGTGCAATTTTTTGCACCAAGGTTGCAATATTGTGGTAATTACTTACTTAGCTCGAACAGACACAGGTCGCTTAATTTTGTTCACTGTTTTCATATCATTCGATTGCGAACGCTGTGAATCGAGTCCAGGGTTTTACAGTGCTATCTAATGTATTGTATTTACGGGTCCTTACGTGTTGGAGGCGGTTACTATCGCAGACAGTGGAACGGGGCCTGTTCGAGGCACGTAATAAAAGCGGCATTACTGCCGTACTGATGAAAAATGCAACTGCCCAACTGATAATACATTGCCAGAAATTCATACAGAACGCGATACTTAAATGATTCGCGCAACACTGCGGTTGTGATTGCAACTCGAACAAGCCCACGATGAGTTGCATGAGCTTCGCAACGACAGCGAATTTAAATACAGCGCTCTGTTGGCTTGATCATGTCGTACGAATGTGGTAGCAGAGGAAGAGGAAGGCATCCTCTGAGAACTTGACTTCACTTCGCAATTCAGAAAGGCATCAATTGTAACAATAGAGAAACGACTATTGGACTCTTCTAAAATCGCTTAGGCGATTACGGCGCCAAAAAAAGATAACAAACAGAAAATTCATTCCACCTCTTTTAGAAGAACACTTCCCATTCCCACTCCCATTCACTTGTATAGGGACAATGCTTTTTCTTTGTTTTTTTTTTTTCTATTCACCATTTTTGGAAAAATATAAAATCAAATTTTATTTTCAAAATTATGATTTTTATTATATACATCATAACCGCTAAGTGAAGTGAAGTATGGTAAAAGTCAATTTGGGGAAATTTTGAGTTGCGTCCCTTTTGTATTTAGTGTGCGATGTGCATAGGATTTTACTTTTGTGCAATATTAATTTCGTTCATGAATTTACCCACCTTACCGAGCTGTAATCAGTATGGAATTACATACTGCAATCGGCTTACCAGATGCATTATAACGCTGTGACCTGTGGCTGCTAAGAATTTCTATGCGTATTACGAAACTTGGCAATTACTATCTGTAAATTTTTAGGTATTAAAAAAATCTAAATTAAAAAAGGTTCATTTAGTGAAATTAAAGTTTCAAAAATTACAAAAAAAAACTAAAATATAAAAACTAATTTATTCTGGAGCATATCGAAACCTGAGTGAGATTTTTTAGCCGAATTCTGCGATATGACGTTCTTCAATCAAATTCTGAGATAGGGCGTTTTTGAACAGGCTGCCGAGATAGGTCGATCTCCCGCTCAGGTGTCGATATGTACATACATACATATGTATACGTTAACTTATTACAAGTATTATTTTAACAATATTTACAGATACCGTTATATTTGCGTCGTTACCATCGGCGAGAAGATAATGCAAGGCTATTGTTCTTTGGTCAATTTCCTGTGGGATGCGGATAAAGACGGTTACATTTCTTACGTTCATGATACACCAAAATTTTTCGGTGTTGCTACACTTTATTATTTGTATTATGATTAAAAACAATAACTCTTTTACTTTATTAAAAAATAGTTTTACTTGCATTATATGTATGTAGATATTTGCTAAATCAATTACTAAAATAAACAAATTTCGATTTAAAAATATGCGAGTTTTATTTCGTATTTTGAAAAATTTTGCATATTTTGTACTACCAAATCTTCTGCTAAACAATTGCTCTTTAGGTACTTAAGTAATACAAGGAAGGTTTTAAATAACTCTTGTCTGACCCGAAGACTAATCAAAATGAGCTTGCACAGTTTTAAAGTTTTGGTTTTGATACGCTAAAGGTCCTGCTTTTTCAAGATATTTTGAGGACAGGTGAACTCACTAGGCTTCTAAAAGCATTCATAGCAAGGTCGGTTAGTTGAATTTGTATAAAGGTGAGTTTTCACAGGCTTGGATTTTTATTCCTGAATTCTTTAAAAAAAAAAAAGTATTTTCTAGCAGCGCAATTATATTTTATTGTTTTCTTTAGATCCCGCCTAATTGATAACAGCAACGTCATATTGAAGAAAAAAAAATGTCAAAGGAAAAAGTGAAGTTCAGAAGACAAAGAAACAAAACCAGAGCACTTTTTGGTGCTAAAAATTTTTGTTTTAATCCTTTAAATGGCTAAGGTGGAATAAGTTCAGAATACAGCTTTTAATAAAAGCGATAAATTCATATGAAAGGGCGGACAAATGTATACATAAATGATTAGAATGAAAAAAGAAATCGATTAAGCGGTGACTGTCTGTCCGTCCGTCCGTCCGCCTGTGCACGTGATAGCTCGAGTAATAATTGAGATATTAATAACTGGCTTAAATACTGAAGCTATTTTATTCAAAATTGATGTTTACAATAATTATTTAGCAAAAAATACGTTTATGATAGCATTTGGAAATGTGCACCCACTTATGAAATACACATATGTGATTTCGGTAATCGTTATATCAATTTGTACCACACTCGGTATGATGTATGAAGCTACAATAGCACTAAATCAAAGGGAAAAATATAGATTTTTTTTTGAGGGGGATGCTCTTAAGTTAATTTCAAAGTGATTTTGGGACATGTATAGTATTCGATTCTTAGTTTTTTACGATGTTTCCTCTTAATTAAATACATTTCCAAAAATTAAGATGTATACACAAATATCAACTGTTTTCTATATTTTAAGGTTTATCGTTACCTTAATAAAGAAAAGTCTCGTATTTTATTTTAAAATCCAGTTTTTTAGAGATGTCGGCTGATTACTTCTTAACTTTCTAATAGAATTAAAAAATAATTATAACAATATTAAATTACATACAAACTTTAACGAAACACCGAAATCAAAAGGTATGATCGAAATTAAATATTCTCGTAGTTTTTTCCCCAGAACGCTCAAACCCAAACCCGAAATGAGTACAAAACTATCGAGAATTATAAAAGAACAAACCACCCCGTATAACATTCCCAAAAAGAACAAAATGCGAACAATACTTTCGGGATTATTTCTAGGCGAACAAAAGTCTCGGGAACGTTTTGGCAAAGAACAAAACGGAAACGAAAGTCTAAGGACTTTTCTCTCGAAGAACAATTAGGGAACTGAAGTCTCAGGAACTTTTAGAAAGAACGAAACGGGAACAAATCTTCTCTGATTGGGTTGAATTGAAAAGTTTGGAGAGTTACAGAGGAGGAGATACATAGTTGTCAGTACATTTAGAAAAAAAATCTCTGCAGTTTTTAAGGCAATAAGGTCCTATGAATTTTTTGAATACAGAGTAGGCTCGAATATTCGCGAATGGATTACATCAAAAACATTAGGCATTGCATAAAACAGTTTTGACATTCATTATTTTCAGTATATAAAATACAAACGGCTTGAACACTCAAATATCAGGTATTTATTTCCTACCGCGTGTGCACTTAAAAATGCTTAAAACACGAAGATATTCTAGCTTTAATAAGAATCCGCAGTGTGTCAAGTTCATTATTCGCGAGTTCGAGTTTCGAGTTTCCGAATGCTGCAATATTTCTTCAATGAATGCAAAGATAGATGCGGCCCAAAAAAAAAAGAACTGAAGTCGGAAAATTATTCCAAGAATGAAATAACTGTGGTAAAAAATAGTTTTGCGAAACTTAAAAGCCAATTTAAAGAAAGTGGACTGAAGCCCATAGAATAGCCGATACTTTTATAAAAAATAATCAGGAATGGATTAAAGGATCCTTTTCTATACCAAAAACGATCAGTCTCCCAGGACGGCCTACCAAACCTTTGGTTGAGTCCAGCGATAGAACGAAGACGTAAAACCGAAAATTTACGGAATTGTAGTGATATGGGAGGGTTGACTCTAGCTACTATAATAAAATTACGGTCAGCAGGAATGAGAGATGCATTTGATGTACTTAAACAAATTACTTCATCACCGAATCGGGCACATAAATATTAAATCGCGTACCAAGAGAGTCAATCAAACTCGAAATCTAACGAGTAGTTATCAATCTTAAAAGCTCTTTCAATGTTTATCGAAGCTAATTTGACATAATTAATTGTGCCTCTTTTAAAAATTACATACAAAATTCACTTGTTTTCATTATTTTTTTAATTTAAACACCTATAATTCAAAAGTTATGCAGCAAGTTGGTCCAAATTTTTGTTGAGGCTTCAAGTATACGTCAATGAATTATATCCAAAAGCAACCAGCTTCATATAGTTTACAACAGTGAAAATAAAGCTAAATAACACAAAGGTTACCTGTTTTTTAGATTTGCCCATATATGATATTCATATTGTTATAATTAACTTAACCTATTATATACATTGTATTTAATTTTAAATTTAAAAAGTGGCAGCCCTGTTTAAGATAGTTTCAAACTATAACCTTATAAATTAATTTTTAAACAGATGGTAACCCTCCTACACGTTTCTTGGAAATAAAGCCTTTTCAAACGCATTTTGAATCTGGCAACCCTTTTAATGTTCTAACTTAGATATAAAGCTTCTCCTCGCCGATACGAACACGTAGGTCTCAATTTTTCTACAATTGGACCTCGATAACATGGAGTCTATCGATGTCGAACATTAAGCACCTTTTTTTCGTTTTTTTGGTGGAATACTTGGACATCCTCCCCCTCTATTTACTTGATTTTAAACATTTATAGTTTTAAATATCGTAATACGTCGTTTCTAAGCATTTTGAGTTAAAATTTTCATAAAAATAATGTTGGCCGCCTAAATCGGTCAAATACCCCTATGTGCGCCGTCAACAAAAAAAAAAATATCACCCCTTTGTTTTTTTTTTTTTTTAATTTTCAAAAAATTTTAAAATCGTGTTTAGACGTAGACTATGCTATATTTTTATAAAAAATTAATGAATATCAAACAAACAAAAGGAAAACTGTAACTACTAAGGACTGTAAGGTGCGTTATTCAAATAACGAGTGTAGGGGCGGTATTATCACTTGCGAAGCGAATGATTTTGGCGAAGCGAACGGTATGGCGAAGCGAATTAAAGGGCAGAGAAGGCATTAAAAGTGTTCGCGATGCAAAGAACTTCCACAAGCTGGTAAAAAAGAACACTCTTATTTAAGTTGCGGCCGCAAATCCATTCGCTTCGCCAAATTCATTCGCCTCGCAAGTGATAATACCGATATTTCTTAATTATTAGCTTTTGTACTTCGTACCTCGCACTACAGTCAAATGTACTTGTTTGCAATATTTTGTACTTCAGGTTCTGTACTTGTCCGATCTTCGGGACGATCGTCACATGGCCTGGGCGATAAGTTCAAGTCGCCGGGGAACATTGGAATCATACCTTCGGAGCTGCAAAGGGCTCTGGAGGTGTCGTACAATTCGTCCAGAAGGCCGGGAAAGGCTCTCATGTTTCCCTTAGGGATTTTAGGTCTATCATTCTGTATTCGTTTTTGGTAAAAACGCTAGAGATACTGATATACCTGTACTTAAGAAATGCGATTCCTCCTGTTCATAAGAAATGCGATTCCTCGTGACTATCTTTCAAGAGCTCAACATGGTTATTTCAAGGAAAGGTCGGCGGATACCGCCCTGTAAACATTGGTAAAGTAGTTGGAGGAAGCCTTCACGAGGAGGCCTTCAACAATGTTACTGCAGAGGCAATAGTCAAGTCTATGAATAGTCAGGGGGTTGAGACCAACCTAACCAGAACAGTCGCGGCGGAGTGGTGGAGCGCCCGCACCTAGCGCAGAGGGGAACTGGGGAAAAGTGGGCTGTCGGCTGATCGCCTATGTAGATGATGTGGAACTTTTGGTTAAGAGACGACTTCTAGACTCCTTTTTGATCTGGCTCAAGGTTACCTGGGCCAGGTTACGAGGTGGGCTATCAACGGCGGCCTCGCAGTAAATCTCAGCAAATCGAAACTAGTCTTGCTTACCAGGAAGTACAAGATACCCGTTGTGGCCCCTCCCTTGGGAGTGGGTGTTCGTCTGCGGCTCTCAGATAGGGTTAAGTACTTAGGCTTAATCCTGGTATTCCACTAATCGATTGTTAATTTTAGTGGGAATTTTTTTTATTTCACTATCACTATTGTACATAAATACATATTGCACGTTTAATAATATACACAATTATTTCAAAATGTCCATTTTGTGGGAAAACGCAATCAAAGTTTGATCAACTCATACAGTTGGTATACAAAAAGACAAATGAAAAGATCCATATCTTCACCATTTTTGGGAAGCTTAGTCATCTGTTATGCTGAACATATGTATGCATTCTCCTTATCAGGCTTATTAATTATATGATGAAATCTTCAAAAAAATAAATTTCGAATTGCTTCTCTATTTTGTTAAACGTGCGATATAGTGAGGCTGATTTATATATTGCAATGCACCATTAAATATTAGTAGTGAAAAATTTTGCACTGCCACTGGCTATTTGTGCAGACTGAAAATTTAGTGGTTTTCAAGATATTTTCAATTTGCCGCTATTCAGCTTAAATCAAAAAGTGGTTACACTTAATCACGTATATCTTACGAACCAATTTAACAATCTTAATATGAAATACGGCAAATGCAAGCTAACAAAGTTACCATTAAATAAACCTTACTTAAATAAACCGATTGATAGTTTGACAAATTAATTAATCATTCCAGATTTTTTGTTTTTTTTTTTTTGATGATTATGTATATAAAAAACACTTTAACAGAAGAAAATTTTTAAAAGTAACAGGTCCTGTGACGAATGTTTGCCTTTTAGCTAAATCCTGCTCTGTTACAAAAAAAAATCAAGTTACTAATGAAGAAAATCCATGGATAAATAAAGAATGAGTGATCAAATGAAAATGCGCAAACATTTTTTGTATAAAATATGAGCATACTTAGGTGTACATGGCGTATGAGTAACATTATTTCCTACTCATTTCTCATTCATTTAACCACCCATTAGTTCTTCATTTATCCATCGATTTGCCTTATTAGTAACTTGATTTGTTTGTAACAGAACAGACTTCAGCACTACTGAAAAAATTTGACACAGAACCTGTAGTTTTTTAATTTATCTCCTGTTAAAATTTGATTTTTTTTCATAAAAAAAAATATAAAACTGGAATGAGTCAGAAACTATCAGCCCTATCGGAAAGTGACGTATAGACGGTTAATGTACATTTCTTTAACTTTCATTTGTCGTATTCCATTTTCAGTTTGTTAAATTGGTTTATATACATACACATACACTGCCGGAACTAAGTATTGGCACAGCAAATTTTTCACAATATATGCAACAATTTTTATTCTAATATTTTTCCGCCAAGTTTGTATAAAAATATGGTTCATTCAACAACAAAAAACATAAAAATAAAATTCCTGAACTTTGTACAAAACTCGCGAAAACTCGGCAAATTTGCATCAAAATTTTCAACTTTTTAATCAGATTTCTTAGATTTATTCGAGTATGCAGTCTGGCAGCCCATTAAATTCTTGTAAAAAAATGCAAATTCGGAGTTAGTCAAAAATCGCGTTAATTTTTGAGAATCTTTTTTGTTGAAGGTGTTTTGCATTTTTTTCATATAAAGTATTTTCGAGAAAAATTTTTTGTATGGAAGCTACTTAATTCCTAGCTACTTAAAACTTGCACTTTATTGTGATAAAATTGATTGGGCTACAAATCTGCATAAATAAATTCTAAAAAAACTGATTGAAAAGTTGAAAATTTTCATGAAATTTTGCTGAATTTTGACAACTTGTGCAAGAAGTTTATTAATTATATTTTTATGTTTTTTGTTGTAGAATGAACTAAAATTTTTTTACGAAATTAACAGAAAAATATAAAAATTAAAATTGTTGCATATATTGTGAAAAACTTTAATTGTAGTGAAAAATTGTGCACTGCCACTAGCTATTTGTGTAAACTGAAAATTTAGTGCACACCCCCGACTCTGACCACTAGTCCATTGCCATTTTCACAGACTCGGAACACTTACCCACGTTTGTATCTGTGTGTACGCATATAAACAACATTCGATATAGATTTGCATTCAGACATCTGTTTGACTTTCTTAATAATGACACATCACTCCACAACACTTTCACAGTAATAACACAAAATTTATTTTATTTATAAGTTTATTTGATTAAGTTTTCCGTAATCCAGTAGTGATTATTACAACTAACGCACTTTCAGCTGATTTTTTATTTTAATAAACGGATGGTGTACGCTTTTGTATACGTACGTTACAAGCATGACTTTCAATATTATTAAATTAAGTTATTTATGTAGGTATGTTGTATGTAGATACAAAACTTCAAAATCAATGATTTAACACACAAGAAAAAATAAAATATTCAATAATTTAATAATATTATAGAAATCAATGGTAATTTTTTCGGTCAAATTCATCTATGTAAACTTGGCTCTTTTTAAAAAATTAGTGTGCAGTGATACAGTATTCACTAGGATCAGGAAACAGCATTTGACGTCGGTGCGCAAATTTAAGAAAACAATGTAGCATTCGTAAAACCCTTTATATGCAGCAATTAATTTTAAACAAATGCTACACGTGGTTCTCTTAGCATGGCTTCAAAGACATTAACACCCACAGACATTGGAGCAAATTTGACTCGCCAAGAGGTCAATCGGACGCACTTCATTTGTTGGGCACTCGCGTCTTTATTGTTGGCAGCAAACATATTCACACGAATGCATGTTGAATTGAGGTTCGGAAAGCATTGAAACATGGAAACGATTATGCTATGCAAAAATCACTGATTAATATTCAAGTAGAGAATTAAGTTTCTACTTTTGATTGTACTACAACCAAACAACACCCTCATGAAATAAAACTCAATATAGAGCTGAAATCGCCATATACAAATTTATGTATGTATGCAACACTGGTTTGAGGAGAATTCACTTTCAGATTTTAATTAGACACAGTTTGCTACGTAAAGGGATTTTTTAATGCAGGCGGAACTACTACTTTTCATATTATAGCCAATTTGCATATCAGAAAATTGCCACAAACAAAAACACCCACAGCACACTACAACACACCTGCAATTCAATCTGATACTTCACTTTTAACCACCTTTGAATTGCATCTTAACAGCACAGGAAATATCAACGGCCAGAGGCGAACTGCACTAGTCTCAAACTAGATTGAATACATCTTTAATATGGATACTATTGAACTTCACTCTCTTCCAACTGGATTCTTTGCGCTTGGCAATAACAAAAGTAATTTCTAATAAAATTATACAAGTGGCCATGCATGGTAAGTATTTTTGATACATTTAAAATGTAAAAAACACAAACTCAACTTAAAAAAAAAACTTAACACAAATAATTTGCTCAGTCACCAATTTTGCTAATGTACACTTCCTGAAGCATAAAGGTCACCACCGGAAAATTGCCACAACGCTACACTGCATCACCCACTTCGAACTGTTAAGCCAGGCCTCATTGTATTTTCACCACGCGTACAAAATTGGACAAGAATCGTTTTACTTTCATATAGTATATACATATGTACCACCAATTCAATTTTATTATTTTTATACAAATTTCTCTTTGTTCGAATTTTACACACCAGTCTGGTAGGCCATGATATGAGATTTGGGTATTATTATCATTGTTGGGAGAAATTATTGTAGAATTAAATCGAATTAACTAAACTTCACAAAATTGGCACAGCAACTTTTTTCACTTTTTGAACTCAAAACATTAAAAAGAAATGTATTTAAAAAACTTTGTTTCAGGTGCATACATTAAAAATACTATAACTATGTAGTAGTAGTGGCTTTATGACTGATATTAATGAGTGGCAAAATTTCGTGCTTTATTAGGTTGCACGCACAGTAAATATAGCTGATTAGTATAATGTTATGTACAACTTACATAGAGGTACTGATACGCAGAAAGTATCTAAGATTTTTGTTCTTTAGGTATTTCAAAAACTTGTTAAGTTTTGAAATATATAAAGATCTCAAATACGCACTTTCCACCTTCCAGTAACGATCTGTAAGCCGAAGAGTAATATGTATGCAAATTTAATAAAAAAGTTAATTACTACCCAGTGAGTAAAATATTAAGCCACAATCACTAACAGAAGGAATTTCGATGTTTTGTTTTATAAGTAATGCTGTGAAATTTTAATGTTTAAAAACGAATTATTAATTTTCTAAGAAATGATTTTTCGCTCACAGCTTTTAACCAGAACTCTGTTAAATTTTCAGTGAAGTCCTAATATTTTACTCATCCTCCATTAAATGTATGTGTGTTTAGAACGCTATTTAATCTACCTTATATTTACTGAATATTGTGTTGAATGAAGTGTTGAATCTTAAATCCTAATATCTCGGTATAAGTAATAATTTCACTACCGACGCGACGGAAATAGCTTCCTTTTTCGTTACCTTATAGAACGTTCAAATTGGCATCATTTAACAAGATTAATTTAATGAGAGCTGTTTTTTTTAACCAAGCCGTTCAGACCGCAGTTTTAAGTATTTTTAAGTTTCAAGAACTGTTTGTTTACGTATGAGGACGTCCCTTTTTGGCCGCAGAGGTTATAAATATAATTTTTCACAACTGAATAGCGAGTTCTCTATAAGCTTTCATTAAACATTTTCAATTTTTGAATTCCCCTCTAATGGCCTCTTTAGGAAAAAGATTTTTTACAATTCAATTGTTGGTGCTAATTTTAGTTTCAGAAATAGCTTAGCTAGATTTCATAAGTTTGCAGGAATCTTGCTGATACCACCCTGTGCCGAATTTTTTTCAAACAAGTTAAATGATGTCAATTCGAACGCGGCATACGGGGACTAAAAGCGATGTATGAAAAAAAAATTGCAGTTTCCTCCAATGGTGTACACCTTTAAGCGGTGCCACCTCTTACAACAACTACCACAAGATGATCTTCCTTGAGACCTTCATCACTCACACTTTGGCATGTGCGCTTCAAAAGTTCAGTAGAGAAATCGCATGGTGGAAAAGCGTATAGCACACCTGTCGCTTCGGTATCTTTATTCAAAAGCGAGATAACTCCAGCGGCTTCCTTTTGCTTCAAGTATGACACTAAATTCCGCAAAGGGCGTGTTTGTACGCTGCTGTCCTCTAATGTGGTCGCAGCAGATGAAGCCAATCCCAAAAATATAGCATGTGATGATGATGAGCTAATGCGTTTTTGTACATCTTCCAACTTGGGCGGATCTAGCCGCAAACGCTGTGTGATGCGCAAATTGTGCTTTCCTTCTTCGTCGCGCATCAACGAGTCGACAATATCAGCATCACCATCGGTCAAATGGAACTTAGCCGGGAATAGTGAGCTTTTCAAAATGAGTGCTCCCTGCCATATAACAGTGCACTTACGTGCAATATCGGGCAAAGTTCGTGCAGTGCTCAAAGCACCGTTACGACGCGAAGAAGAATCTGAGTCCGACTCAGGCGAATGCGCACGTTTATGCGGTGAGCGAGAACGCGAACGATCTGCACCTGGTTCACGGGAACCAGAACGTGCTCTTTCGTACGTATCGCCTGGCGGACGACGCCATTCATCTTCGGCTCCAGCTGGTGGTGGCATTGATGATACGGAACTGCCATGTGATGGACGATGTACGTCATTATGATAGACATGATAGGAACCGCGTCCGCGCCCACGATAGCCACCACGCCCTCTGTAACCACCTCTTGGTTGATATGGAGCATAACCACCACGTGGTGCGTAGTGTGGGGTTTCTTCATAATGATAATCATACTCAGGACGCCTATATTCATGTGGATCATCATAGCTCGACTTGGTTTTGAAAGGCGCAGCCGGTGCAGTTCCTGGCAACTCTGCGAAGTCTGAACGCAAACGACGCTCTGGGCCGCCCAAAGGAAAACCGCGCATTTCCTTCACTGCAGCAGAAGCTGCCTCAATGGTTTCATATTGAATATATGCGCAAGTATCGCCTTTTTGATATTCTATTTTCTTTATCGCACCGAACCGATCAAATTCTCTTTCCAATTGCGTTACCGAAGTCCAAGCTCCAAGACCGCCTATCCATATACGAGTAGCAGGCGTCACTTTACCGTAACCAATTTTACACTGAAACTTTCCAATATATTGACCGGAAAGCTCGATTTTGGCACGATGAGCCATGTCTAAATTTTGATAGCGCACAAAAGCAAAGGCATTGCCAGTTCCTGGCGGTGGTCGTTTTATATCAATATCATCCACGATACCATATTTGCCAAAAATGCGACGCAACTCTTCGTCTGAAATATTCACTTCCAAATTGCCAGCAAATAAAGTACGAGTCGCGAGCGGATCGTCTTCTGGTTGAACATGATGCAAGTAATTGGGGAACTTATCCTTCTTGCTTTCGGGTTTCTCATAAGGAGTATGAGGACGCGGTCCCATGTGACGCATAGGCGCATATTGATGTGGCGGCGGTGGGCCATGTAAATGTGGTGGCACACGATGCATTGGTGGGCCACGTGGAGGAAGTGGATATTCGTGGTGTATAGGACCGCGATACTCTCGTGAACGACCATGCGGATGCATAGGTGGGCCATAACGGTCATAGGGATCAAGTGGTGGCCTACGATGTTCTATTGGTCCTGCTGGGCCCATTGGGGAACGTGGATAATGATAACGATCGTACTCAGGCGGAGTAATCGAACGACGAGGCCTAAAATTTAATAAAATACATAATAGTATGTGTTAAAACAACTATAATAGAATTTAAAAAACCAACCTATATTCATTATGTGAAGATGACTCGTAAACTGGTTCCACTAGTGCCATTTTATCGTACAACACAATGCGCGGCTTGTGATGTTTTGCTTCGCGTGCATCCTCCGAAGTGCGAAAACAAACGTAAGCTACACGTTCGTCCAAATCATGCGAAATACGGATGCTGAAGTCACCAAATTTCTTGTATTCACGATACAACGTTTCCTTGATGAAATCATCTGAAGCTTTCGGATGTAAAGCACTAACACATAGCACTTTATAAGTTGGCCTATCCGCCACTGGTGGTGGACCACGCAAATACTCCTCTCTATGGGGTGAAACACCATACCGTGGACGTGGACTTGGTGACCTTCCAATGCGACGTCGCATGCGATCTGGAGACATACGTTCGGGCGAATCGCCCGGCACACCGCTGCCATTGTCATAACCACGACCCATGATTGTTCTACCGTGTGATGATCGTCCTAAATGATTTCCTCTAGTCGGAGAATCTCCTGAAGCACTACGTTTCATATTATGAATTTCAACTTTAATATTTTTTTGTTTTCAGCTGCGTCTCGATGAAGACTCAAAAACAGCTGCCCCTAACTGTTGAAAATTTCACGCCAAACTTAAAATGTATCTGGCAACGCTAACCTGAAATGTATAAAAAAATTATATAAGTATAAGTGTTTACACAGTGATTTTGACGCAAATTATTTTTATTAATAACACTGTAAGAAGACTAAAATGACACACAAAAAACACCGAGATGCGCAAACTTAATTTTGCATTGCGAACAAACAAAGTAAACTTTATCTAACATGGAAAGTGTTACTCATACGCCATGTACGAGTACGGCCACGCACGACATGGCGTATGAGCATCATTATATTCTGCCCCTATTTTATACAACAAATTATTGCACATTTTTATTTGATCATTCAAAACGTGTTTATGTATCTATCGATTTTTATCGTTAAGGCAGTGTCATACAATTGGTACATCTGTACATAATTGTACATTTTTCATATTGGGCTATTGGTACAAAATAAAAATATTGGGACAACAATTTTTTTTATTTAGTCACACGATTGGTATAATACAGCGAACTTATATTGAAAAATTTTAACAAGTTTTTTTCATGATTGGGATAAAGAAAAATATTTGTGCCCAAAGTTTGGTCCCATCACAATCGTGTGAGACCGCCTTTAGCAGCTTGATTTCAGGTTTTCATACATATGACTTTCATGTAATTTTCGAAATTAAAAAGTTATCAAAAATTCCCAAACCGTTTGAATTTCGCGACAGAGCATTTCTAAAAGCATCCAATTTATGCCAAAGGTAGGACTGAAAAAGGAGGAAGCCCCATAGCGAGAGATTATTTAATTTCGTTTTTAGTGCCGAATTTCCACTAGGCATTGAAATGACGAAAAATGTATACCATTTAAAAAAATGCCATATGGAAATGAGCTTAATGACTATTTTTTAACAATGACACGATTATTTTTTAACTTTGTAATTTTTGCCATTTAAGACCTAGTGCAAATCCAGCATACGTTCCAATGTTGCATACAAAAAATAAATGAAGTATTAAAAAGAATAAAATTATCCCAAATATCGCCTGCAGCAATAATAAATCGATAAGAAAACGACTAATTCTGTAGCCGTACGCCGATTTCCTCCATTCTGAGACCTTTATACTTACCCCCCTTTGTCCACCATAAGTTTTCATACTCAGAAATCGAATAGATTCAGAACTGGTGAATAGGATGGCCATTCATTCCAATAACCCTATCCATTTTTTCTATTCTTTCCTTTTTTTTATAGGAAGTCTTTAGAATAAATCCACCTGAAAAAGACTTGCGTGCCGCTTACGTACTTACACCTGCGTTCCACTAATCAGAAACGAAATTCAAAATGATATTGTTTGCAAATTATGTTTATTTTTTATTTTTAATAATTTTCATTTAAAATATAATTCAATCTGTAACAGAAACCACAATAATAAAAGTTTTAAAGACTGCAAAAATTTAAAATTATTAAAAATAAAAAAATTAACATAATTTGCATTTCGTTTCTAATAAGTTGAACGCAGGTGTATCTCCCAACGCTAACATTGCTAGCAAATGCAAATAAGGATTGAAATTTTAAAACTTGTTAATAAAATTTAAGTTAAACATGTATGTAGGTACAAAATTAACAATTAAATAATTTTTTTCGCAAAATCTATAAAGGACCCTTTTATTTTTCAAAAAAACCTGTACGACAGTTGTTCGTCGCCACCCTGTACAAACATGTAGAAAATTTGTACGAAAACTCATTACGAGCTAGGGCTTGGAGCCCGAGTATCCGGATATTATTTGGATACTCGGATAACAAAATGGAACGGATAATAACCGGATATGCGGAATTAATCCGTATACACGAATATCCGAACATACAAATAGTCACAGCCTTATTACGAACGGATTCAATAATGCCAATCTAGGAATTACGAATTTACGTTAGCAGCTTTTCCGACTTATAGCCAGTTTCACGAAAGCAATTTAAATGAAAAATGATTTTTTTTTTATTCAACAATTTTTATTGAGCATGAGGCTGTTTTTTAATTAAAATTTATTGTGGAAAAGCAACAATAATTTGAAAAAATGGTAGAAGTGGGAAAAAAATGGTAGAAACTATTGTTGCTTTTCCACAATAAGTTTTCATTAAAAAACGGCCTCAAACTCAATAAAAATTGTTGAATATAATTGTTATAAGGCCATAAAATAACAAAAAAAAAAGAATTAAGGACGAGCACACCTAAAATTTAAACATTTTAATAATAGAAAATTTAACAAAAACCAACAAAACCAACAACAACATGATCAAGAGAATTGCAGCGGAATAGCTGCGCTTGATTGTAGTTGGCTTAACAAGTGAAATAGTGGAAATAAGCAACAAGAATTAACAAGGTGAGCTTAGCACCGTGCGTAGGCAACTGGCTGAGTCAGTGGGATCGTCGGTTCGCATCCTATTGAAAGAAGAATGACGAGGAAATGTGATGATTTCCGAAATAGCTTACACTTCTACCATTTTTTTCAAATTATTGTTGCTTTTGCACAATAAGTTTTCATTAAAAAACGGCCTCAAACTCAATAAAAATTGTTGAATATAATTGTTATAAGGCCATAAAATAACAAAAACAGATTTTTTTTGATGTAATATGAATACCGGCAATTACAAAAAATGTGAAAATTACAAAAAAATTAATTTCTTATTTATTTTTATAAAAAATGGAAAAAACATGAAAATAAAATGTCCAAACTCTTTGCAAAACTGATAAAAAATCGCTTTGAATTTTGAGAATTTATTATTTTTTATTTTTTTTGTTGAAGTTAATCCCGGCCGACTAAATAGAAGTGCAGCCCGATTGCGTTCAAACCAAAATATCGGCCGACTGTTTGAATTAGTCCGTACACACGAATATCCGAACATACGGATATCGGCCGACTGTTTGATCATCAAGGCGCACTTCTACATGCGCACAAGCAAACTTGCAATTTATTATTTTTTAATTTGACACCAAGTTGAATAAAAAAGTTCGTTTAATTTAAAAACTTATAAGCTTTAACGATTTTTTTATGAAAAATGTAAATAAATACTTGTTCACTTTTAATTTCAATGATTTGAAAGGTACTTGGCTGAAAAAACTGCATTCGTAATCGGAATGCCATAGCAACCAGAGTCGATTTTGGAAACCCTACCATTACCAGTAAGAAATTGAAACGTATGTATTTTAATGAAAGTTATTTCTCTGGTTGAGAGAATTTGAGAAAATTTTTTTCTTATAGGCAAAATACACGACCGCAGACCGTCTAACATACCGTATGTGAATAATCCAAAAATTTCGTCATAATTGATTGGAGAGAAAAAATGGAGTAAGATAAAACAATTTCTGTTTAATAAATGTTTAATTTCTGTTGAAAGTACTCGCGATTCATGATTCAATAATAAAAGGTTTGCTCAGAAAACAGTTTTCTCGCTCCCTCTTGACAATATCGGCTCCCTTACAGTGGCCACACACGACGAACATGTGTGCGTGTGCGCTGTCGTTTGCCACCACAATATAACCAGTAAACAACCTTCGGTGAATTTGGCGGCTGCCTTCCTCGGGGATGAATATGCTAGGGATGAAATTATTGGTACACACGCCTTCCAAGCACGCAGGGTTGCTTTTAACAAACAAAAAATAATTACCTTCAAATATTTTCAAAAAGTATAGTGTAAAACGAAATTTATTGAATAATTCCACATAAAATGGTATACATCATGGAACTTTTCTACTAATTGACATGAAATTACTATCTCAACG